TATCAATAATTAATAGAGTGAATTTTTGAATTTTGAATTAAGATTATAGTGTCATAACAAAGACTCAATTAGGTTTTTCCTCAATTTTGTGTGAGAACTTTTGTCTGATCAATTAGATTAAACCAAAATAATATGTTAAAAAAATATCAGAAGAAGGTTATTTTCTTAGGAGTTGCGTTTGTAAAGAGCTAAAGACTTACATCTGGTCTTAATTTTCAACTAGTCACAAACTTTGGTGTTTAAATAAAATTACGGATTTTGAAAATGATTATGTTTTTTCACTTAATTGGTTAAAAACATCAATGAAAAACTAGTTAGTTTTTTATTTATGACCCATAACTGGGTTCAAATTAAAATAATAATGATGGTAGAAATCTAAATCTTAATTTATCAAAAAAAAGTTATTTATAATCTTTTCCCTCTTTGATATATAGAATGCATTATTGGCCCTTTTTATTAATTATTCAAATTCATTCTAAAAAGATAAAAATTGAGAATTGCAGTAAGTAGCTATAGCTTGTTCTCTTTCACCCCATTCAGAGGCATTGATTGTAAATTGCATTAGATAATCTTTTAATATTAATATTTATCTACTAAAATCTGTTACATATACGTATATGTATTAAGAAATGCAAATAAATAATTTTTTTAAATTATTAATTCTGCTTTTTAATTTAAAAAAATATCTTTTTACATCACATTATGATAAAGACAAAAATTTCTTACCAAGATTTAAGTTACTAGTTGAAATCATATTAATAATGTGATTGTAATCATTAATTACTATGTTTAATTTCATAGTAGAAAATAAGAGAAAAATAGAAGAAGTAGGTTCGAAAATGACATCCACCATGCATCAATATTACATTCTATATTCATTTATTTTCGTTTTGATGGAATATATTAAATTATTAGTATATGAAGCAGCCTAACAAACCTAATAATTTATCACTAAATCTAAAAATTTTAGTTTAATTAATTAAAATTTTGACTTTTATTAATTACTTAAAAAATTTTCACATTTTCTCAAATTCTTCATGTTTTTTAAAAAATAAAAATAAAAATAAAATATTTAATTATTAGTATATCTCAATTTGAAACACTATATATAATTATATATACCCCTATAGAGTACTCTATTACGCAAAACAAAGATTTGGGAATCATCACAATGCTCTCTGCACCACTCTGCCTCCTTTTTTTCTTCCTCTGTCTTAAAACTGCCTTCTCATCCTCTATACATGCTTCTTCCATCTCAACAAAACATCTCTGCTCCCATGAGGAGGCTCTTGCTTTGCTGCAATTCAAGACATCCTTTTCTATCAATTACACTGTTCCTGATGCAGATTATTGTGTGGATAATTTTTATACTAAACCTAATTATTCTAAGATTGAGTCATGGAAGGAAGGTATAGACTGTTGTTCCTGGGATGGGGTTAGCTGTGATAAGGTCACAGGTCATGTAATTGCCCTTGATCTCAGCTGCAGTTTCCTTTATGGCACCTTTCCTTCCAACAGCACTCTTTTCTTCCTCAGAAACCTGCAGAGCCTCAATCTTGCCTTGAATGATTTTAGGCTTTCCAAGATTCCATCGGAAATCAGTCAGTTTACTAGACTAAAGCATCTTGATATCTCTGATTCTCAATTTTCAGACCATGTTCCGGGAGAAATTGCTCACCTCCGCCAGTTAGTTTCTCTCAATCTCTCTAATTATTACCTGATCCTTGAAACAACTACCTTGAGAAATCTTGTTCACAACTTGAGTGAGGTGAGAGAACTTGTGCTTGGTGGAGTGAACATGACATCTGTTAATCCTCGTTTCTTCATGAATCTCTCTTCTTCTTTGACTACTCTTGATCTTTTCGGTTGGGAGAGTGGGTTAAGAGGAAACTTTCCAAACAGTATTTTCCGCTTTCCAAATCTCAAGTTCTTTTGTTTAGTTGGAGAGGGAAACCTCACTATTGATCTTCCAAGTTCTAATTGGAGCAGTCCTCTCCAAAATTTGGAATTATATGTCATGGATTGCGGAAGGCGATTGCCAGAGTCTATAGGAGATCTAAAGTCATTACGATCTCTACTTCTTGGCCGCAAGTTGGAAGGTTCCATTCCAGCTTCCATAGGAAACTTATCTCAACTTACTTCTCTAGACCTCTATTCTAACAAATTTAACCGACAAATCCCAATATCACTTGCAAACCTCACACAACTTAACTCACTCTACCTTCCCAGGAATCAGTTTTTTGGTCCCATTCCAGCTTTCCTAGGGAACCTGTCTCAACTTACTTCTCTAAGCCTCTCTTATAACAGTCTTAGCGGACAAATCCCATCAACACTGGGAAACCTCACACAACTTAGCTCACTCCAACTATCTTCTAACTTACTTAATGGCACGATGCCACCTTGGATTTTCACCCTCCCTTTTCTAGAGTACTTGTCTCTCAGTCATAACCAATTTCAAGGTCAAATAAGTCAATTCCAGCAAAAATCACTCATAAATCTAGATTTGTCAAACAATAAACTCCAGGGCCCGATTCCTAGCTCAATTGCTAATTTTGTAAATCTTAGTTATCTAGATTTATCGTCAAATCATCTCAGTGATTTAGTAGTAGTATCTGACATGTTCTTGGGGCTTCAAAATCTGGAAACCATCATTCTTTCATACAATAATCTGTCCTTGAGAATGAGTGTCGATGCCAACTTCACATTACCCAAACTAACTGATGTTTTCTTGTCTTCTTGTAACTTGAGTGAATTCCCCAATTTCTTAAGACATTCAGATGGTCTGCAAAGCCTAGTGCTATCCAAAAATAGCATTAACGGAAATATTCCCAAATGGATATGTGAAAAGGATGATCTCAGAATTCTTGACCTTTCTCATAACAATTTAATTGGGAAGATTCCAAATTGTCTTCCTAAGTTTCTCTCAGTGTTGGATTTGCAGGCCAATCACTTTGATGGGAATATACCATTTGGGTTTCCAGAAGGCTGTGGATTACGAAATCTCAACTTATATGGAAATCAAATGGATGGGCTATTACCAAGGTCTTTGGTGAATTGTAGCAAGTTAGAGGTTCTAGACGTTGGCAACAACAACATAGAGGATACATTCCCTCATTGGATGGAATCTCTACCAGACCTTCAAGTGCTTGTCCTAAGGTCCAACAAGTTCCACGGTTCTGTGCAGAACACCAAAGAAAGTCCATCTTTTCTCAAGTTACGAGTTCTGGACCTCTCCAACAATGATTTTGTTGGTCCTTTGCCTGTTCGGTACTTCAAAAATTTTAAAGCTATGATGGACCTTTATAGAGATGAGGGTTCTCTTGAATACATGAATGTCAGTTCTTATCAATATTCACTGGTTGTGACATGGAAGGGATTCGACTATGAGCTGCATGGAATCTTGACCGTATTCTGTAGTATTCATCTCTCAAATAATAAGTTTGAGGGAGAAATTCCAGATGTTATTGGAAAGCTTAGTTCTCTCAAAGGGCTAAATCTTTCTCATAACAACCTTACTGGTCATATCCCACCGTCACTAGGGAATTTGATGAATCTGGAATGGTT